TCAGTTTGAGCAATTTCTGTGAAGTTCTGGCAGATTTGTAGTAGAAAATGTTAAAAAGTAGCTACTTTTGCACTTAATTGCATCATTAATTTACTGTTTCTTTCAAATAATGTTAAACAAATTTTTTGTCATGTTTTATGATTTAAAAACATACACACAAATTGCGTTGTCAGTTTGAGCAATTTCTGTGAAGTTCTGGCAGATTTGTAGTCGAAAATGTTAAAAAGTAGCTACTTTTGCACTTAATTGCATCATTAATTTACTGTTTCTTTGAAATAATGTTAAACAAATTTTTTGTCATGCTTTATTGATTTAAGATCATTTGCACAAGTTGCTTTGTCAGTTTGAGCAACTTCTGTGAAGTTCTAGCAGATTTGTAGTCGAAAATGTTAAAAAGTAGCTACTTTTGCACTTAATTGCATCATTAATTTACTGTTTCTTTGAAATAATGTTAAACAAATTTTTTGTCATGTTTTATTGATTTAAGAACATTTGCACAAATTGCTTTGTCAGTTTGAGCAATTTCTGTGAAGTTCTAGCAGATTTGTAGTCGAAAATGTTAAAAAGTAGCTACTTTTGCACTTAATTGTATCATTAATTTAGTGTCGTGGAAGTACGCGGGCAGGATATGTCCAATCGACTTGAAACTCTGCCTGAATATTGTCCTAATATAGGTTATTTTAGGTCATCAATCAAAACTTTTTGGTCATGCTTAGTTCCCGAGATACAGCATGTGCCTTTTGTACAGCCACAAAATTGGAAGTACGCGGGCGACTTTTTATAAAGCCATGAAATTATTAGGGTTATATATTACCACACCTGACATATCTAAACAAATAAACAGTAAGTCATTTATTTTTTTCTGAGACAATATCTAGAAGTTTGTTAAAGGTCATTCTACAAATGATGATAAAAACTGTCAAAAATGCAAAGTCCTCGCCTAGTTTCTACTTTTGCATGGATTGTGTAAGCTCATTGTCAGAACAAAATTTCATTCTCACTTTCAACTTCAAATTAAAGCTCAATGTCGTAATATAAGAAAACAAATTATTCACATCCTGCTAATCAGGATCATCAACTCAATTGAAAGTAAAGATTTTAATATTTTCACCAAAATCTCATCATTTTGTCATGACGCATCAACAGAAATCTGAATTTTCTTTGCCATCTCTAAATTTTGTTCGAAGAGCAATCAAGTCAACAGCTACAAAAGATTGCATTTAAAAAGGAAACATCACAGCAAGGTTTAGAGCATTCAAAACGAGAATCATTAAAATACGTAAATAGTTCGCACGACTAGAGAAAGCAGTTGTATCGATCGACACCGAAAAGTGAAAAGAACGCAGTGATTTGTGAGAAACTTACGCTTGATGAGAAGTAGAAGTAATGGTAACTCACTTCATGTGATGACAAAAATACACAGTTTATTAATAATTTAATTAAACAGGAAGAACAACAACGAGACGAATAAGAAATTGAATGATGAGTGAGACTGAGACGTGTATGAACGAGCCATTTAGGGATTTGCATTGATCGACACCGAAAAGATTACAAGGATTACTAGAAGTAAAGGTAAATGAACTCACATAATATTTTTAGTTTTATCAAACAGGACGTTATCAGCAAGATCAAGAGGAATATGAACGAGACAATTAAGGAATTGAATGAAGAGAGAAATTTAATGCTGCAAATGATGGGTGCTATAGAACAGCAATTGAAAAGTGATGCGAATATGAAACCAACAAATTGTCAGCAAAGAACTAAGCAATTATCAGATGCGAAATCAAATAGAACGGTTTCAACAAGGTTTAAAGAAATTTCATGCCACTCATGAGCAAGCTTAAGCAGAAAAACATTTAGGAATTGATGAACTGGAAGAGCAATTAAATCATCAGCTGCAAGAAATAAAATCTGAGTAGAAAACAGCACAGGAAGGATTGAAACATTTGAAACGACAACCATTGAACAACGTAGAAAGTTCGCGAATTAGGAGAAGTATCGATCGACGCCGAAAATAATGAAGTGATTTGTGAGAAACTAACGCTTGATAAGAACAAAAAAGGTAAATTAACATACATACATTCATGACAAAAACACACAATTTAAAAATGATTTATTTCAACAGGACGCTATCAGGAAGAACAAAAGGAATATGAACGAGACAAAAAAGGAATAAAACAAAAAGAGAAACTTGTTGCTGAAAATGGAGTGCTAAAGAACAACAATTAATAAACGAAGCAAAAATGCAGAAAATTCATGCAATTCATGAGCATGCTTAAGCAGGAAAACATGCAGAAATTGATGAACTGGAAGAGCAATGAAGTCAACAGTTACAAAAGATTTAATCTGAAAAGGAACACAAAAAAGGTTGAAAAGCATATATAAATGACAAAAATTTAGGAATGGTTCGAAGGATGAGAATGCATCGATCTATAATGATGAAAAATTTTTTACAATTTATCAAGGACTACCAAAAGTTTAGGTAACAAATTTAATATGACTTTAATTTAATTTTTTTGGAGAAAATGCCCCACCGTCCATTTTTTAATTCAAAAATTCAGAACCGCATTATTTTTTAATTATTTTTTAAATATATTATTAGTAAGAAGAAGAAGAATATGAACGAGTAAAATAAGGAATTGACTGATAAATGAGAAGCAGACGAGTATGAACGAGCCAGTTAAAGATTTGCATTGATTGTCACCCAATAGAATACAAAGATTTGGAGAAACTTACGCTTGAAAGAGAACTAGAAGTAAAGAAAAATGAATAACCCATGCTTTGATGCAATAATTCCCAGAATATTAATAGTTTAATTAAACAAGAAGCTATCAAGATGAACAAGAGAAATATGAATGAAAAAAGGAACTTGTTTCTGCAAATAATGCAGCTATGTAGCAGCAATTGCTATTCATACAGCTTATAAGTATGCTAAGCAAGGAAAACATGAAAAAATTGATAAACTGGAAGAACAACTAAGTCAACAGCTTCAAAAGATTGAATCTGAGAAGAAAACATCAAAAGAAGATTTAGAAGAACAAGAGAAAGCAAGTACATCGATTGACACCGAAAAGATCAAGAATCTGTTTAAAAGTATGGTGCGAAATGATGAGAATGCATCGCTGAGTCCTAATAAGAATATTTTCAACACTTCAACCGAAATTAAGGTATTAATTTTAAATTCGTTTTAATTTCATTTTTATGGGCATAAAAGAAGAAAATGTCCTGCCAATTTTTTTTTCGGCACCTAGAGTGTTTACATTTTCCCATATAAACAAGCTTCAGAACCGCATTAATTTTTTTAACTTTATTTATTATTAAAAAGGGAAGAATATGAACGAGACAAACAAGGAATTGAATGATGAGTGAGATTGAAAGGAAAATGTATGAAGCAATTAAGGATATCATAGATTGAAGCCCAAAAGGATGCAAGGATTAGGAGAAATCACGATTGAAAATGAACTAGAAGGAAAGGTATATAATTCACATGCATTGATGACAAAAATAAGAAGTAAATTAATAGTTTAATTAAACAAGACGCTTTTACGAAGAACAAGAGGAATATTAACGAGAAATTAGAAGATATTAATAAAAAGAGGAACTTGTTGTTGCAAATGGTGCAGCTATGAATCAGCAATTGATAAATGATGCAAAAATACATTCAAAAAATGGCTTATGAAGAAACAAGCAATAATCGGATGCAAAATAAAATAACACGGCTACAACAAGATAAAAAGAAAATGCATGCAACTCATGAGCATGCTTCAGCAGGAAAAATGCACAATTGATGAACTCGAAGAGCAATGAAGTCAACAGCTACAAAGGAGTTATTCTGAAAGGAGGCATCAAAAGGTTTAAAACATCTAGATGACAAGCATTAAACTCCGTAAAAACTTCACAGAACTAGAAAAACCAACTATACGATTTATGCCGAAAAGATTGTGAAGCTGAAAAAAAAGTATGGTAAGAAGGATGAGAAAGCCTCGCTGAATCGTGAGAAGAACATTTTTTTAAAGTCATCAAGGACTTCCGTCAATAATTCAGATAACAAATTTCAAATAGTTTTAATTTAATTTTCAGGTTTCCGTTTTTTTAGCACTTAGAGTTGTTCAATTTTCCCAAGGTGTGGACACTGGGATTAGTCCCAATAATCCCAAATAATCCCTATAATCCTGAATAATCCCAGCGTATTTTTGATTGCCCACGCCTTGGTATTTCTCAAGCTCAAAAAGATGAGAAATGATCGTTACAAATGTGTATATATTACTTAAAGATTCCTTTTGCTATCAATAATTACTTAAAAATATGCATGAAATATGCATGTACATTGTAAATTTAATATAGCACTAAAGGAATTACTATTTTACTTTAAACTCTTGAAATTAACTGTTGATTTTATATAATTCTGTCGTTCGCTTAACGACAGGGCATGTTTAATATCATTGGATAGGTCTTTTAAGGCCCTACATTACAAAAAACGTTTAATCTAATTGTTCTCTAAAACAAGTGCACCAGAACAATTTTAATTTAAGCCTCCAAAAAAACTTGTTTTTTCGCTCTACTGGATCAGGACTAGCACCAAAAATTTTGATTTTGGTATCAATCGATTCCTAAGAAGATGTAAAAAACATCTTAAATAAATGTAAAAACATTTAAATTGCATGGAGATTTCGCGAAAATCTTCCATGAAGCACTACGGTCTCAAAAAAAAAATTTCATGCAAAGCGCCATAATTTCCGCCCTACTAGACGACAAGGGCTAAATTTTGACATATAAATCATTACTTTTGGATAATACGGTGGACCTGTAGGTTGGGTGACAAAATTTGAACGACATAAAGAAACACCTTCCGTGTTCCACGCGGAAGCTAATAAATTCAATTCAAATATGTTTAATGGGTAAGAAATTTTATTTCTGTATAAAACAATCCGTTCTTGACCAATATGTATAATTAGAGCCTTTTGAGAGAAAAACTAGCATTAGGTTAAAAATAACAAGTTCCAATATTAATTTAATTAAATAGAATGTCAATAATATTAAGTTGATTTTAAATTTGGATGAGTAAATACTAATAAGGAATGATTTTTTTGTCTCTTAATTTGAGCCCTAAACAAAAACAATGACTACACCTTTCTATTAATTAACATTTTGTCTCATAAATAATAAAATAATTAAAAATGTCAAAAGAGTAAATGCTTGTCACTTAACAACGGTTTCCATGCCACTTATAGGTACCAGTAAATTTAAAATTAGAATTAAGACATTTCTCATCAGCAGCTCTTGGTCCACGACTACCATACTTGTAAGGAATTGGATTAATTTTATTGCCTTCAATGTTGTGTAAAAGTGGTGTAAAAATTCGCCAAGCTTCACAAAGTTCGTCACTTCGAACAAAATGCATCTGACTTCCACAAAAAACATCCAAAATTAATCTCTCATAAGCATCAGGCAAGGAAACGCCCTTATATCGATGTCCATAAGTTAAATCAAGCTCAGTTTCTTCCAGATCAAAAGTGATTCCTGGACTTTTTGTCATCATCTTAATGTATAAAGCTTCGCCAGGCTGAACTCGAATAACAAGTTCATTACGTTTTGCTTTGCCTCCAAAAATATCACCAGGCACATCATGATACTGAATTCTTACTTCAGCTTTACGTTCATTAAGAGCTTTGCCACATCTTAAAATGAAATTTACACCATCCCATCTCTCATTATTGATTTTAAGTACAGCAAGAGCATATGTTGGTGTTGTTGAGTCTTTTGGTACTGTTGGATCATCCAAATATCCAAGTTTTGCTTCACCAGTTCCTTCTTCATCGCCAATATATTGTCCTAAAACAACATCATCAAGAGTCAATGGTTGAATGCATTTGAGTACTTTAACTTTCTCATCACGAATGTCATCAGGATGAACGGATGCTGGCTTTTCCATCGCGACAAGTGTCAATATTTGCAATAAATGATTTTGCATAATATCTCTGATGATACCAAATTCATCAAAATATCCTCCACGACCTTCAGTTCCAAAAGGCTCTTTAAATGAAATCAGAACTGATGCAATATTATTTCTATTCCATGTTGGATTAAACAGCTGATTGCTGAAACGAATTGTCATGAGATTTTGAACCATTTCCTTGCCTAAGTAGTGATCAATTCTATAAAGTTGATCTTCAGTATACAATGATGCTAAATGATCACTCAATAGCTTTGATGATGCTGAATCCTTTCCAAAAGGCTTTTCGACAATAATACGACTCCATCCCCTAAAATTATACATCAAACATACATTAAGTTAATTCTATTGATGGAAGATAATGAAAGTGTTAACTCACTGTAATGCCATGCATGTGTTGCGAATATTAACTGTAACCGGCTCAAAAACGGATGGGGGTAAGGCAAGATAAAAGAGACGATTTGCAGTTGAGAGATTGTCATGTTTCGACATTTCCTGATTGAGCATCTCAAAATCACGACGTTCTGTATATGATCCAGCAACATAGTAATTAATCTTCCAAAATTGCTCATACTTTTCCTTCTCTTCATCCTTTACTTTCATGTACTGATCACATTTCTTACGAATATCTTCGATTGTAATTTTACTGCGAGCGTATCCAAAGAAAATTGTAACTGGTGGCAATAAATTGTCACGATACAACCACCAGAGTGTTGGATAAATTTTCTTCTTTGCCAGGTCTCCCTATATGGACATAAATTAAACAAGAATTGGAAAAAAATGAAGTTTTCATTGACATTTGAAATTACCGATGCACCCATAACAGCAAAAATGTGAGGATGGCGACTATCCCAGTAAGTTCCTTCAGTCTCTACGAGATGTCCTAAATCCTCACGGATAATATCAAGAGTCTTCTGATTACTCATTCCGCTAGTGCTACCGTTGCTGTTTTGCCTTGTAAGCTGATTCAACAAATTTACTTTTTGTGATACTGCAAAGAGGAATGAGAATGAGAATTGAATTTTTCAGCGCTATAAAAAGCCTTGAGTACGCATAAATTTTCCTTGAAATGCACTTTCGCATAATCGATTTGCACATACAATCACTTTTGAACTCAATTCTCGATATTTAGTGTCACCGCAATTCAATGCCTATATGCTACACCCAGAACATTAGAATTGTTTTAGACTTTTTTTTTCATGATACAGACGATAGAAAAATAAAGATATTGAAAAATGAATGGAAATTTAGAGAGTCAAAGTCATGAGTTGATTCACGTGCTGATTATTTCAACTGAGATTATACACAAAAAATATTTAATTTTAAACAAAATCGTGAAAATCTGAGGTTCTGATCATATAAAATTAATCTGCCCTTTATTGAATGCTATTAAAGCTACGTCATTAATTGTTTTATGGAGTATACTTAAGTAGCAACTTGATAGGTCAGTAAAATACTTGAATTAGAAAAATAAAAGTCACAACTTTTAACAAGTTGTTTTTTCAACAGTCAAAATAATTTTGAATTTTATGCTTAAATTGCACTAATTCACTTTTTAAATAAAACTGTTATATTTTCTAGGAATATAAATCGGAGATAGTGAATTTGAACTGCAACCATACTCATTCAAAAAATATTTTAAGTCATTACTCCAGAAGAAGACAAGAATTGCGACACTAAGGTATAATTTGCGAAGACATTCAAATGCTGTGAAAAAATTCCATTTCGCGAGCATAATAGATCTAAAGGAATTTAAGTTGTGATTTTTTTTTTCAATGTACAAGCAAATTAATTTTCTGCAAGTTGTAACCTGAACTTAACGAATAAAAAGGTCCAATATCATTTGCATAACCAAATAAGTGCTTTACACGTTACTGTACTTAATAAATTAATTTTAATTTTAAAGTAAATCAGCCAAATAATTCCAAAAGTAACGTTGAAATGGTGTCACAGTTTTAATTTGCCTTTTTTGAATAATTTCGAATTAAGAAAAAAAAAGGCTGAACAATTTATTTCGTAAACATTATTTTTCAGGTAAGACAAAGGCTGTCTATTATTATTGCTCGCTATAATTTCAGTTTACTTAATTGTTATTTATCTCAATTAATTCAAACTTTTTATCATTGCAGACAACACAAGTGTTTCGCTATAGTTTCTCTTTACTTTATCGAAAATTGTGCTGCATATCTTAGCAAATTACCTTCATGCACAAAAATTATTCAGTTGATGTGATTTCACCTTATTTAGTGGAACTGCAAAACGTGGTAATGATTTTTTTTTTTTTTTGGAAAGCTTTAAAGACATGCAGTCTTGTCTCTTGCTACTTGAAATTTGATTAACAAGAATGTCACATGTATGGTCAACAAGTAAGACTAGACACAATGAAATCGAAATTTTCCAAGTTTATTTTTCACTTTTTATTTTCCGACTCGATTGTTTGTAGCCACAAATGATACTGTTCGGCGTTTACTTCAAAACAATTGCTCATTACGTTTTTAACTTCACAATTTTTTATTTTTTTTATCGAGCATGCATGTGAAGATACGAGACTCTTGTTGAAAAGTGTAAGTAAATATTTCATTAATAATTTTATTAAGATATTTTCATTGTGTGCGCTTACTTTATTCCGTACCTATATATCTCATGTCATCGCCTGATTAAATTAAAATATTTGTATTGCGATAATAGGTGACTACTTTGTAAATAAAGCAAGGCATGAAAGTGAATTTACATCGTAATCAATTATTGATAAGTGCATTCAAATTTTAGGTTGCTGATTGTCATTAAAATGTGAAACTTAGAAACTGACAATATTTACTTACCGTTATTTTGCATCATTTTGAATACCGTTTGTTTCGATTTCGTTGGTAGCAAAAAAAGTCTTTAAGTTGATTCTTCTAAGTCACTTTTGTTCACTATTTTAATACTTTATGCAACTTTACTTCACAGGATCTGATCGGCAACTAAAATAATTAATTTTTTATTTTAGAAAATCAAAAAAAAATAAAATCAGCAGTTTTGCGACAAGTTAGGAGATAGACGTAAATACTCTGAGTAAAATATAAGCAGAGAAATGCGTCGATAGACGTAATTCAGTCTGAGAAGAAAAAAAAAATAAACACTTTTTTGATTTCTCATTGAGAAGCTTATGTTATCCTCTAACACATGTTCACAGACCGTCTAAACTAAGATAGTATGTATGATACAAATTACGTCACAATTCCAAGTCAAAAATCAACAGGTCAAAGAAAAGAAGTAAAAAAATCATTTTACGTCAATGGATAGTCAATTAGCTGTTTGCTTTTTTATTATGCCCAAAATTAAAGTTCAATGCTCTTTTAATTTTTAACACTTTGAATTTAATTTTCTTCGTTCCAAAAATTATGGGTATAAATAAATAAAATAAACAGAACTTACTTTAGCGGTAATTGAATGAGAAAAAAGCGTGTAGAAACTATATCGATTTTAATGAAATAAATTAAAGTAATAATTAATCGACGATCCTCACAATTGTCTTTGAGCTTTTTAGATTCTGTGCTTTAGATTCACTTGTTTATAATTTGTTTGATTGCTTATTGATGGCAAAACTTATGAAATTAAAACGAAAAAATTGTCAATAAATGAAAATATTCAGCCGTCTTCAAAAAACTTCAAACAAGTTATAGGAACAAAGTGGCAAATGAAACACAAAAAGATGGTTCATTATTAATGTTTTATTCAATCAATAAGGGGAGAAAGAGAGATTTATAAAAGTAATCGTCGCATGAAGATTGATTGCGCTTTTAATTCCAAATCCGCAAGTTCATCAACAATAGGCTTTAGCTGTTTAACGTGATCTTGATAATTAGAACCAGTATTAGCACGTTTCTGTCCATAAACAACTTTTCCGTCAAAATCATTAAGTGGAACTTTTATGTCAGCTTCGACTTGTTGAATTGTGCATCCTAAATGTTCTTCAATATCCGCTAAGTACTGTGAAAATCATAAACTATAAACATTATGATTTTTTAAAAACAAACCAGAGAACTTACGTTTGGCTCGTTATACCACATACAACATCCTTTTTGCTCAACAAGATTCGTATTCCAGCAATTCTTTCCACGCGAATTACACCATTGGCCGTGATACCAAACTTTTTCAGGAACTGTTGAAACTAGTGAAATTGCAAGTCCCATACGTTCTGCACGTCCAACTCGACCAATTCTATGAAAAATATTATTAACTTACATTTTAATTTTATTGTTTAATTATACCTGTGGACATAATTAGACTTTTCGTCTGGTAAAGTGATGTTAATCATAAATGGAAGTCCAGAAATGTCAAGACCGCGAGCAGCAACATCAGTACAGATTAGAAACTTGACTTGTTTTTCTTTAAATTTCAATAAATTAGCCTTTCTCTCATTCGGTGCGCGATCTCCATGTAAGCATACGCAAGAAAATTCAGTTCCTCCAACTTGTCGCAAATAATTTTCTAAATTATCGCAATCGATTTTTGTACGACAAAATATAATAGCTCTATCCATTTTATGTTCACGAATTGCACGAACACAATATTCGCCTTTGAGCATTTTTACAGCTTCTGATAGAGTTTCTGCCGAGTTTATTCCTGGTTTTACATTATCTTTCACATGTACACCATCTGTCTGAACATGCTGTCTTAAATTCTTCCAGGAAGAATCTTTTTGAGGATCAACCATGACAACGCAATGATGAACAGTTTCAGGCACTGCATCTTCGCCTTTTAAGTCAACCCATGTTGGAAAATGCATTAATCTTTCAGCCATTTTCTTAACATCAAAATCATGAAGTGTAGCACTACAAACAATCATTTGGAGACGATTACCGTCTGATGTAATTTTGGGAATCTGTTTGTGAATCCGATCAATTAAGCCACCGTAACCTTGTTTTAATAAACCATCGGCTTCATCTAAGACAAAGAATCGACAATGAGTAAGAAGTACAAAACCTTGTGACAACAAATCTTCCAATCGACCTGGCGTGGCAACAATAATCTAAAATAAGTTAAATAATTAGGAAATAGAGCCTGAAAAATTTATTTGATGTATTACATCGACTCCTTTTTGTAGCTCATTAATTTGTTCCTTACTACTTTGACCACCGATTAAGAGGTATTCACGAATTGTAGGATCTTTTAAAAATTTCTTAAACTTCTCAAGTTGCTGAAAAGTCTGTTCAGCCAATTCTCTAGATGGCTCAATAATAATAGCTTTTGGTGCATTTGGTTTAGATTTCATTTCTTCTGCAGACGATAATTGTGCATTTGGATTATTTTTGACATTAGTACTTTCTGCTCTAAATAAAGCTATATAGCCGTCTGGGATTTTATGCTTAAAATCTGACTCGCCAAAATTAAATTCCATTTCTGCATTTTTTAAAACCACAGCTGGATAAAATGCTTCATTTTTCAACTGATCATTTATTTTAAATGCAACTCCGAGATTCTTTCCATTCTTAGTGTACGAAATTTCTCCTCTACCGAGATCCAACAAACATCCAATGACATCATTAATACCAAAAGATTCACCGTAATCATCAAACTGTTTATTGTTTGATTTTTTCCCAGTTCCACCAAATCCATAAGAAAATCTATCAGTTCCTAAATCTAAGTTAGCCTTATCAGTAGCCCATCCAACACGACATAATCCTTCATCAGTAACTGTAGCCTCAAAATAATAACGTCCATTACCTTTAACACCAGTTGTTGATCTACATCCATGCCATTCTCTTTGTTCTCGAGATTGGCATCTTAAGCCATTTGGTGTAATTGCAAGAGAATTGCCTCTGTCAAAGAATGACATTCTAAACGGAACTATTGAGTGTGAATGATGACTTTTCTTTCCATCCTGTAAATCTTTAACAGTTTCCCATACTATTTGCAATATTGGGATACAGAATGCGCCAGTTTTACCAGATCCCGTTTCTGCAGCAAGCAATACATCACCGCCTATAAAAAAATGATAGTTGCAAAATAACAAAACATTAAATTGTGAAATCAAAACATTACCTCCTAAAATTAAAGGAATAGCTTCTGATTGTACATCAGTTGGAAGTAGCCATTCCATATCATCTACAGCTTTCCCAAGCTCTGGAATCACTCCAAATTCCTCAAACGCTGTCATATTGCCTAATTATTTAATTTTATTAAAATAATTGCTGAGTATACAATATTTATCCTGCAAACTAGCTTACAACTTTATTGCAAAACACACTTTTTGGACAGTGTTTAAATAATTTTTAAACGTTGCTGAGCCTGAAATTAGACAGCAATTTAATTTGTTCAAAGAAGAAAGGCAATTTATTATTTTTTTTTCCTTTTGATTTATTCGTTTGTTAATTGTAATGCTTTTGAGAAAAAAAATCAAATTTCATCTAAAACATTTGATTTTTTTTTACAATTAATGAATGCAATATGACGTAGAAATACGTTTAACTTCATATGTATTCCGTCTTCAAGATTTATGCCAAGTTTTATTCTTAAAAAATATCCACAATCCTTTTGCATCATCTTGAAAGCAGAAAGACTTTTCGACTTATCATATATTTAATTTTACATAAAATCGCAGCTAAATAGTTCATTACATAAGTACATAAATTGTCACGAAAAAGATATTGAATTACTTTATGACCAGATAAATTATCAAGCAGAGCTAAATGTCCTCGTTCCTATCTTCTTCTTTTACACAGTTTTTTTTTTGTCTTAAAATCTCTCAATGAACACCCAAATTCAGTATGTTATTTAAATGTCCCATAAATATTTAAAAAATTGGAAGAAAAATAGGAATTAGTTCTTTCTCTTTTTTAATCTTTAAAATGAACGTAAATTAAGAATAACAGTTAAATTAATTTGATAAAATCACTTGCGCATCATTCTTTTAAAATGTGAGCAATAAATTGAGTAAAATAAAGTAATAATAAAATTAAAATATCAGCAGGAAGACATAAAAATTATCAAAACATAATGAAATGTAATTTCTTTGTTTTTAAAAATATGGAAGAAAATGAAGTTTCATTGAAACATATTGGATGGATTTCCTTCTTTGATAAATGTCCTGAATTGTTGTTTATTCTTCTCATCTAACGAGTTCTAATGTTGTTCAATAAATTGATGAAGAATAGCTGGCACGTGGCTTTGATAAGGAATATTGTTTTTTCTGACAACGGCTGCAGCCAAACATGTAAGTTTTGTATGTTTTACTGGATTCACTAACTCGTAAACTTGTTGTCCTTGCAAAAGCGATTCGAAGGTTTCTCCGTGACGATTTCTTGTATCCTTAAAAAAAGAAATTTTAATTATTTTTTTTTGTTACTTGCAAAAACCGTTATTTTTAAAATTTCCAGCATGATTCAGTTGTATCAAATTCGACCACAAAATAGTCATATCTTATCAATCTCCGATCAAAACCGAATAGCTAATAATTTTTATGATGGATGTGATAGTGATCTATAGATTATTAGAAAATAATAATAGTTCTTACTAAATGAGCTCCATGCTCCACTAAAGCTTGTGCCAAAGATGCTGGACAAGGTCGTGCTAATGCCGCTAAATGTAAAGGACTATTTCCGTCATCATCTTTGGTATCTGGATCGGCTCCAACGAGAAGTAACGCTTTCACAAGTTGGGGAAGTGGAAATTGACAAACTGGATATCGGCCAACTAGTGCTGCTTCACGATTACAAGCTAAATGAAGTGCTGTTCTTCCTTGTTTTACAACTACCTATAATTAGCATTAAAATTAATAAAAAATATTCCATAAAAATGTTTTTTATGACTAGCTTACATTTAATTTAACTAAATCATAAAGTGATGTCAAAATTTGCTTCTTTATGTCATCTGCACAGTCTTCTTCAAATATGAGACGAGAAAGAAGACATGCAAGATGAAGTGATATTACTAAAGCACGATTAAGACTTGAAAGATCTTTTTCATGAGTAAATGCGGGGTCATTGAACATTTTTTGACCCAATTCTACTTCCTTAACAGCACGATTGAACACTAAAAGCATGTCTGATGTCTCTATTGGCGGGACCACTCTGCCACGAGTAATTGGTCGTCCTGCTTCTCCCAACATGAAAGAAAAGAGTTCAGCAAATGAGAGAAGAGATGATTGAGTCATTGGATTTAGTGGTTCCAAGATTCTTTGTTGCATTCTCAAAGCATAAGTCCATAACTCAATACAGCGATCAAATCGCCCAGAATCAGCATACACAGCACCTCTAAATCTAATATAATAACTTGTATCTGGATGAACTGGACCCAAAATTCTTTCTCTTATCAAGAGTGCCTGCATTCTCATCTCATCAGGATCCAATACTAACTCATCAAGAGCATTTAAATGATTTACTTCCAATGAATAGTCATATGCTGCAACTGGTTCTCTTGTTGGTTTCGCAATTATCGGTTCTTTTTGATATCTTTCCTCCATTGCTCGTTTCCAAAAACTTAATGCATTTACCATATCACGTTTTTTATCGACATATGTCGCTCCTAATAATTCTAAAGCCGCAATTTTCTCATCTCGATTCACAATTGGTAATTCAATGAGATGTTCAACAATCGCCACATGTCCTGTCACGCTTGCTGCTAATAATGGAGTCATTCCGTATGAATCTACGTCCATTGTTGCACCGTGCTCAAGTAGTAACTGAAGAATCTCTAAAGAACCCGACTCAGCACAGTCGTGTAAAGCAGAGTTACCTACAATTATAAAAAAACATATTCAATTAAAATTTTAATCATTAAGCATGTTATGATGGTTGTTAACAGCTCACCTTTTACTGATTTACGATTAACATTAGCCTTAAGTGATAAAAGATATTGTGCAATTTTATAATGGCCTTTGTAACAAGAAATCATGAGACAAGTATGTCCATGTCTGTTTGCTACTTCTATATCAGCTCCGTGTGCTACTAAATATTTTACTATCTCAAAATGCCCATCGAAACATGCTGCTCGCAAAGGCGTTGAATTTGTCTTGGTCCTAGATATGTTAAAATTAAAAAAGAAAAAAAAATTAATAAATGGACTCATTAGCGATTAAGAAGAGTCATCTTACGTGGAATTTACATTTGCACCATATCTTATTAATAACTTAACGATATTTGTATGGCCTGCAGCCGCTGCACACCAAAGTGGAGGGGCTATAGATAGAAACATAAATAAAAAACATTTATGAGTATCTTAGATGATAAGCACGAACTGATATAAATTTTCTTACCATTCTCTATTGTTTCACCATCAAAAATGACTGAACCACATTGTTCTACATCTGTATGGCATCTTTTAATTAAGTACTGGACTACGTCATAATGACCATTTCGACAAGCTATCAATAACGGCGTGCAGCCTCCTGTTTTTGAAGATACTAAAGCGTCAATTTCATTTTGTGAGCGAGTCCCAATAAAACGCTACATAGAAGAGAAAAAAAATTATATTTAAATTAAATAAGTAAACAATCATGAAAATATATAAATTGACTGTGATTAGTGTTCATGACATATCAAAAGAGATTATAATGTGATGACACAATAAATGCTCTGATTATTTTTTTTTTCTTTACTTCTAATGCACGAAGATCTAATCAACAATATTATTGTGCATATATGTGCAGTCACGTTACAAACAGGTCAAGGACCAGTCATGATAGAAATCACGCTGTTTATTTCTTTTAGAAACTATATGATAATGATAATTTTTAATCAATACGGAACAATTTAATTCAATAATGCACAATAATGAGGAAAAACCTAGATTTCCATAAACAATACACGCGAGTTGCCGGCAAGGTCTTGTGTTTTTCCTTAATTAAATTCACATGTTGCTTTTAATAATTTTTCGTTCATAAATCGAGCAATGTTCTTTTTGATTTTGAAGACGGCAAACAAAGATGATGACTAATGTATTTTTGCATTTTAAATCAAACTTACTCGTCCAAAAAATCGCATTCTTATTTGTTTTTAATTTAATTCTCTTAAACTTGATAATTTTCTAAAAATGTCCATTCAAAACACTTTAATTAAAATATGTCTCTTTTTTTCAAACTGCAGTTAGGATTTCCCTAAAAATTGAGTTTCAAATCTTTATTAAAAAAAATTAATTTTGTATGCAATTTGCACTCAGGCACATCTTTACAGTGGAAAATTTCAGCACAAAATGATTCAAAGGCAAGCATTGATCATATTTTATTTTTATTCTCTCTTCAAAGAGAACTGGCAGGGAAATACACAAGCATACAAGCAAATCTTATCATCTATCCATGTATTCATAGAATGAGATTCAATTGCCCCAGTATAAATTTTTTTGTTTATAAACATTCTGTCATTTCCTCTTATCAACATATAATATATGAATACTAATTGTTCTCAGATTACTCTCCCCAGCATTTTACACTCTTATACATAGGAATTTGTTACAATGCAATGATCTCATTTTTTTATATATATTTAAATAATCAAACGTTTTAATTCATTCTTTAAACTCCTTTTTAGAAGAATCAAAACAAAATTAGTCATAAAGTTAACTCATGACGTTAAAGGTGGTGAAGACAAACAGAATTGCTTTTAATTGAGGTCAATTCAATAAAGCAGTTCCTTACATCGGTAGAAAAGAAAATACGAAAAAAGTAAATTGCGACTTAAGTTAAAAAGGTACTCAAAGACGCTCAATAAAATCATTGTTTAGAAATATCAATCTTAACTGATTTAAAAACTTACTAAACGATTGAAATTATCGTTCCTGTTTGTTGTTATAGCTTTGTATACTGATATCATATTTGTTTTCGTTCTACTCGTGTCTGATGCAATAATCGATGAAAATTTATTGTACGCTTTCAATGCGTAAAAGAATTGCCTTATCGCAAGCTTTAGGACGCGATACAATTTTGATCGACGTCTAATTGAGAGCATTCGAATTGTATTGAACATGCTTTTCTTTGTTTTGATGATTTTGCACAAGCTGTCGAATAAATATTAACCTTGTTCTCTTTTTTTCAGTCAATTCTTACTCTCATGTGTAAAGTTCTTCACCCACCCGTTAAAAAAAAAGTTCTGAATATTTGATTTTCTCTCAAAAATTTATATCCATCCACATTATTTTCGCTACAATATTAACAATAATTGTTTTCCTTTATAATGCAAAAAGTAAGTCAATTATTTATTGGCCTTAATTATTGTTTTTGATATGATACATAAAATAATAAAAACAAAACACTTAAGTCTCTTAAGATTTAATGCTCAACTTCTTTATCGTTCAGACTTTAAACGTATACTGCTTCAAATAGAGACGAGAAGAAAAACATTATATTCAATCTTTTGCAAATATCAGGTATAAGTTGAATAGCGAATAATGTGTGAAAAAGTTGCAGAAGTAATACATCTACTTGTTAGTATACACTAATGACTAAGATACTTAAAGGATAGAATGATTCTTGTTTATCAAGACGCAATGTTTAATTATGTGACGTGTAATGAATGTTAAAGGAAAGAAATCACTATTCTCATGCCGTCATTATATTCAGTGTACACAAACACAAACTTATAAGCTTCTTCTAAGTTCAATAACTTCCATTTACATATAAATGTACGGAAAATTTGCATTTACAAAGACAAACGTGGCATTAAGAGCTACTATCAGATTCACAAAAAATGAATAAAAGGTCAATGGCAAAATATCCTAAATCGTAAGAAAATTCACTTTAAATGGGATTAATAAATTGAAATTAAATAATTCTAATCGAACAGTTATAAACTTGATTTTTAATCGGCTGGATTGGACATACACTTCGTAAGAAAAACACCAGAGAGGATGTCATTGCTAGGACAGAAACACAAGTTTGTTATACCGCCCTTGGATGGAATCCGCAAGGGAAAAGACGCCTAGGAGCTCTACAATAGAGTCAGATGGAAAGCCTTTTGTTTAACCTAAGCTCCACATAGGAACATGGTTACAGTAAATAATTAAGTTATAACTTTATAAAGAAGGATTATCATCATCAAAACTTTATCTAATATTTAAGCGACAAGTCATGATCACAAACATCATATTACTATTGTTGTTGATCTTTGAACAGATCATAATGTTCTAAATATCTTTTTTATGGATATTGTATTTATTAAATTATCCAACAGACACTTCAGAGATGCCAAAGAATGATGATAACGTCAAAATTTGATTGAATTAAAACCTGACAGAAAAAAAATTTCAAAGCCAAAAAATTTACATTGTCATCTGTTTTTTTAAAGGTCAGATTGATAATTTAAAATATATAAGAAGTAGAAGTCCATTTTTTATTATACCTGTTAATAAATGCAAATGCTGTTAAATACTGCGTTAAGCAGGAAGATTAAAAAAAAATGTAAAGAAAGAGTTTTCAGAATGGAAACTGACATTTTCCTTATTATGTTTAAATAAACAATAATTTCATGCTTTTTAAAAAATTTATTAAGAGTTTATAGAATAATATTTTTTTTTCCTGTTCTCGTGAAACGAGTGGGAATAGAATTTTGTGACTGTTCAAACAAACAGCAATTTTTTGCAAAGGAATTTTTTTTGACAGAAGGGGGGAAGCCTCAAAATCATGTGTTTTTGACAGACGTCACAAGTAAATCATAAATTTTTCTTGGACAAAACGAGTATGTATGTTAATTAGTCTTTACAAAAAATAAAGTTTAAATTGTTGCTGACATTCATTTCCCCTTTGAAGATTCAACATAAAAATCACACAATCTCCATTTATTAATAATTCAATGAAAGTTGTTTCATTATCAATGTCAACAAACGGTGAGATGAATATAAAAAATTCACAGTAATATTAGAAGATCTGAAGAAGAAGCAGGGCTTAGATATGAATATATTAGTGAGACAGATACCTATAGAGAAGAAAGTACCTGATTAAGTAGCATATTATTGATCTGTGAGTTAATTTGATAAAAACTTGTAATCGCTTTTCACATTTAAAATAAATGCCAAATTTGAGAACACTTAATTGTGATGAGAATATGCAAAAAATAACGAAATAGATTTAAGGTTTTGAGTAAAAATTCTAAGTCTGAATTTCAATAATTTTAACACAATTTTATTTACAAAACGCAGAATTTATTTATTTAAATAAGCGAGTCATATTTAAAAATAGGTAAATAAAGAAAGAAGTCTTAAAAGATTATTTCCAATTATATTAACAGCATCATTGCTGATACCAGCTGATACGCTTTAGAACTTCACTTTGAAATTGTTGCGAGCTTTCGAGATTTAAAAAATTCCTAACCGTTAGCTTTAGATTTTCATATGATCTAAAAACTTTTTGTTAAGAGCATCATGAATTACTGAGCTGCTAATCCTATAAATTCTCGAAATAAAGACTCGATAAGACACAAGTGACAAATAATTGTATTTAAAAGCATTTCCTGTTTCCCTTAATGATGAACTTGATAATAATAATAAAGAACTTTACGCATAATAAAAGCAATCGAGCAATAAAGCAGCAAATGTTAATTATTCTTTGTACCTTTGTTAGCATTTCTACATATGAACAAAGAGGTCATTAATGAGGAATTAATATCGACATATTAACGATTTAAGTGCACATCACATTGGGTAAATAAGTATAAACAAACGCAGCACGATACGTTTTCGAAGACACCCGAAATGAAGTTTTTATTACAACAAATATGTATCGAAATTGTGGAAGGTCAGTAAAGGCGAGAAAATGTGTTGCCATACATCGTTTTTGGAAAACACAAAACATGCATGTTCAAAGTGCCAAAAACAATTTCACATGGTATTCATTTACAGCAATAAAATACAATTAATGCAATTTATAATTGCTTTAAACCAATAAAGATAAGATATTATTGACAATAACGACAATATAATTAACAATAACTGACATTAAAGTGCGTTTCTTCATGTGTCATTTATCCAAAAGTTTAACAATTTAACGAGTTGTTAAAAAATCAGCTACTATTTTTGAAACCTTTTTTTGTTTGTTTCTTTGTGCCACATCAGTCTTCTTTTTCGTGACGGCTGTCTGTAGTTTTTTCAGTATATTTTGAGTTTTTACTTCTTCATAGTATTTAATGTTCTACGTCATTTGTAAAAGACAATTTCTAAAATTACTTATTACTTTGTTCTTTTGACGATTGTTCCGATTGAAATTTTATCTATGTGATTAACACAAAATAGCATGATTTAATTCATGAAAAATGCAGTCATAACAAGTTGGCACAACTTATTGTTCTCATATCCTTTGAAACCTCGTATGATAAACTTTTTATTACATCTTTTCTTATTATTTTCACCAGTAAGCATAAAACAGAAACGACAAAGTCAAGTTTTCATGTAAATTGCAACATAAAAGACAACGTCATTATGTAAATCATTATGTATATCTCCACCCTCAAGAAAAATTGCA